ATGGTGGTCAGTTAAGGTATCTGGGCATCTAAACTATTACCGGCCCATATCATCATGCAATCATGCCAATCTGAATCAATGGCAATCATGAACATGGCTTATGAATATGATAGTAGCCTAGTACTATGCCTTGCTTTATAAATCATAAAGGCTTGTTTTCAAGTCCAAAGATTAATGAAGAATGGTTTTGAAGTGCTCCACTATGACTATGGTTGAAATAGTTGCAAATTGCATTAGTTCAGGAACAAAAGTCAGATTATTTACAGATGATTGCATAATATATAGAACAATAAAAACAACACAAGACACAGATATTTTACAAAGAGAATTAGAGAACAAAGACATATTTCTTAATTTGAACCAAGTAGACAACATAGAAGATTTAGTAGTACAAGAAAATGGAATTCAAAAACTATTATCCAACACTAAACCAAATAAAGCATCTGGACCTGATAGTATTCCAGCTAGATTTCTCAAAGAACTAAGCAATGAGCTAGCCCCAGTGTTCAAAATACTCTTTCAGGCATCGCTTAACCAGGGCAGAGTACCAAAGGACTGGAAAGAAGCTAATGTCACCCCCCTATTTAAAAAGGAGAAAAATCTGATCCAGGAAACTACAGACCAGTATCACTTACCAGCATCACATGTAAAATCCTAGAACACATAATATGTAGCAACATCATAAACCACTTAGACAAACATAATGTTCTCACCCCATACCAACATGGCTTTAGGAAATATAGATCATGTGAAACACAACTAATAGGACTAATTGATGATTTTTCAAAAGGTTTAGATAATAGTGAACAAATAGATGCTATCTTACTAGATTTTTCCAAGGCTTTTGACAAAGTTCACCACCATAGTCTGCTTAAAAAATTAAAATATTTTGGCATTAATGGTCCACTGCATCAGTGGATTAAAGATTTTCTGATAGGGAGAGAACAAACTGTAATAATAAATGGCTCTAAATCAACACCAATAACAGTAAACTCAGGTGTACCTCAAGGAACAGTCTTGGGTCCACTACTATTTTTAATTTACATAAATGATTTGCCAAATTGCATTAGTTCAGGAACAAAAGTCAGATTATTTGCAGATGATTGCATAATATATAGAACAATAAAAACAACACAAGACACAGATATTTTACAAAGAGAATTAGATGAATTACAGAAATGGGAATCAAATTGGAGCATGTCTTTCCACCCAGAAAAATGTCAGTTGTTAAGAGTAACAAAAAAACTAAAACAAATTAATTCCACTTATCTTATTCATGGCAAACCAGTAACACAGACTAAAAACGCAAAATACCTAGGTGTTATAATAAATGAAAAACTGTCATGGAATCCACATATTGATGAAACTACAAAAAAATCCAACAAAGCATTAGGGTTTATTAAAAGAAATTTCTATAAATCAAATAAGAACATAAAACTAAAATGTTATTTAACCTTGGTTAGGCCAATAATAGAATATGCATCCACCGTTTGGGACCCCTCAACTCAAGAAAACATTAAGAAACTGGAACAAACACAAAATAGAGCAGTGAGATTCATAACAAACGAATATTCGCATTTGACTAGAGTAACACCATTAGTAAAATCACTAAATTTAGAAAGCCTTCAGGACAGAAGACTCAAAAGTAAAGTAGCAATTTTACTTAAAACACTGAACCATAATCTTCAAATCCAAAAACAAAACTTAATAAAATACTCTGAAAGACACAAAAATAAAGGCACATTCCTCGTCCCATATGCTAGGACAAATTTGTACAATTACTCCTTCTTCCCTAGTGCTATTAGAGCATGGAATGGGTTGCCTGAGCTAGCCAGAAAAACCAGTGACTTGGCAGAATTTAAGTCATTGGTTAATATGCATGACTAAATGCATGACGCGTAGGACGTAACATCATCTTTTTTTAAGTAACGTCTGTATTATATAAGAAGATAAGATAGTTGGTTGATAGACTCTATGACATGTTTATTTTGCCCAAAACACTATTAAATCCATCATTATAATGGCCCGCATTACATTGCGCCCTAACTCAATACAATTTTCTTATCCCTTAAATTCAATGCAGGGTCATAATCTATTCTTTAGGGGGAAATGAACTTCATCTGTCATCACTTGCGTAACAGCGTTACACAATTTAATGTGTTAGAAATGATTAAGCGCTTGGGGATTAAGTTAAACTTTTATCCAAATGAGCAGGGGATAAAGTAAGTGGGACATTGTTGCATATTTTTGTAAAATGAATGAAGGTAAATAAATCAGTATTAAGAACTTTGTAAAACAAAAAATTAAATTTGATATTCTTAGACCTGATTTTTTTTTTCTGATGTTGTCTCCTTTTCTTTTTGTTTCAGAACAAGTTTTTTTTCCAGCTGCTGACGTATCTTCATCTGATAACAACATTTTTAAAACTTTAGTCCTTTCATTGACTTTTTAATCTCAAATTTTTCATTTACTCTTTGAAAATGGAATTTTCTTGGCAGACCATGAAGTGGAACATGTGGGGGAGTGGCAGTGGACTCGAACTTTTTGGATCCAACTCAGCTCAGTTCAGAATGTCTTATAAGAGAAAGATCAAACTCAACTGTTTTCAAAACAATATAAAATATAAACTTTGATATCAAACTTCATTCAGATGGAAAGTGACTAATTTTAAATGAATTTTTTTCACAATTAATTTGACATTTGTTTTTCTTGAACTATTATTGTGATATTTGTTATGTAAAGGTCTGTATAATTGCTATTGGCATCTTTTGGAAAAATGAGAAGTTTGCTCAATTTCAATGAACGTGCCGCGGCACAGGGTGGAAGTGTTTCTACTATTTCTTCTAAATCTGTTGTCAAACTGAACCAACACATAGGGCTCTTTGGATGTGTTTGTATAATTATTGGAATGATCGTCGGATCAGGAATATTTGTTTCTCCTGTTGGCATCACAAGATATGTTGGATCAGTGGGTGAGAATAGTTTATCATAATAAATAATTTTAATTTTTAAAAATATTTTACCATCAGCTTTGTTCAAGGCATTTTCACCACCTCTATGACTTGAAGTAACTGTATATTTATGAAATACAGTCCATATCAAAATGTTTTATGATATTGGTAAAATTTAATATATTTTTGACAAAAACTTTTTCTGTAACGCATTTCTAACCACTCTCATAAAGACGAGGCCAAGAAATCATCAGCATTTCTTCAAGTTCTTTTGTTTGTGTGTGTGTGTGTAATATCTGGGTTTTGGAAACTAATGAAAAGAGTGTGCAGATATAAATAAATAAATTAAAAAAATAAGATTCAACAAATCATTGCAGCTGCTCATTTTTTAATTATTTATCTTTTGCCTGTCTGGTCTATCAGGCAAGTAAAATAGAGTTTGTTTCTTGCTATTAGAGCATGGAATGGGTTGCCTGAGCTAGCCAGAAAAACCAGTGACTTGGCAGAATTTAAGTCATTGGTTAATATGCATGACTAAATGCATGACGCGTAGGACGTAATCATCTTCTTTTTTGAAGTAACGTCTGTATTATATAAGATAAGATAATTATTATTAGCTCTATTTCAAATAAATTTAATAGTTATAATTATAGGTACCTCTCCCCCCTTTTCAGACCTTGTGATCTATGGATGATGTAAAGCCCAGATGTTTCTATTTCCAATAGTTATCATGTGGCACAAATGATAATCTTCCCAACATTAGGGTTGGATGGACTCAAGGAACAAGTGCTTTACCTCTCTGTCATGATGCCTCCTTTCAAATCATTAGTGATAGACTATTCCAATAAGTTACATTATTTCTGTACAAAGTCTGTTAGTCTAGTTAGAGTATCATAGTGTAATGGCATAGTATGCATTGCAAAAAGAAATAAAGCTCCATACAATAATTATTTATATTTCAGGCATGTCATTGACGATGTGGGGAGCAGTTGGTGTTTTCTCTATGTTGTGTGCCCTGTGCTACGCTGAGCTTGGAGCCTGCATGCCAGAGTCTGGTGGGGAGTACATCTATGTCAAACATGCCTGGGGAGACTTGATAGCCTTCTTGAGCATGTGGGTCAACCTGATCCTCATCAACCCTATAGCTGTGGCAGCTTCCAGTCAAATATTTGCTGTGTACACATTAAAACCTCTGTACCCATACTGTGAGCCCCCACAGAAAGTAGTTATAATAGTGGCATGTTTAGCTGTTGGTAATTAATTTTTTTAAATTCTAGTAACAATTTGAAACTCAATTCACACAAAAATAATATAAATCCAAAGTGGTTCATGGTTACCAGTTGTGTTGATCATTGTCTTATTATTTGTTAACTCTTTCCCCACTAATTATTTACTACTATTTACTACTAAGAACCTGGCATCTCAATATTCCTTTATAGTGCAAAATGATGGAATTTTTATTTGTTGCTATGAAAAATATTCCATCTTAATAAACATCATGTCAGAAATTTAAGCAGAATTTCCAGAAAATCTATTTCAATATTTGCTGTTGAAGATCTCATATGAGTCAACTTGTAGTTCTACACAAAATTCTTTCTAAGACTATTTTCTAAACATACTAGTTGAAATACATTGACAAATCTTTGTTTCTTTCCATCTACAGCTTTAATTGTATCTATTAATATGTATAGCGTTACCATGGTAACCAAACTTCAGTATTTGATCACAGCCTGTAAAGTCTTGTCTCTTGTTGGAGTTATTGTTATTGGATTGGTCAATATCGGACAAGGTAAAGGGTTGCATGTTTTCACAAGGGCCATAACTATTCTTTAAGTTTATTCAGCAAACACTTAGTCAATGTTTTAAGTTTAGTCAGTGATCACTTAGCCAAAAAAAGATAAATCAAAATAGCAATAACGATTATGCTTTGTTTTTTTTTACTGTTATATCTCACTATTTTTTAAAATTTTCAGGACAGACTGAAAACTTTCAAAAATCCTTTCAAGATACTGATTATAGTCTTGGGTCAATGTGCCTGGCCTTCTATTCTGGATTCTGGGCATTTGGTGGATGGTATGTTTTTCATATTTGCAGTTATTTGAGAAAAAGAAACAACAAAACATTACAATATTTTCCATTTATTTGTATATAAAAGTAATCCATCTTCACTGTGGTCTTCCTCTCTATTTGATACTTAGACCTAGGCTACATTGCTAGAAAGTAAATAATTAATGTTCATATCTTGAAATTCTTTTTCATTAGTGTGTAAAGAAGCATTTTATCTTTTTTCATCATTATTTTTATGACATGTTGATTTTCTGAAAATATGATTTTAAAACCATTTTCATTAAAAAAATTTATCACACAGGAATTATTTAAATTATGTAACAGGGGAGGTTATTCAGCCTAAAAGGTTTGTAGTTTACAGTTTTATGTGTTTATTATTCATGTCTGATGTTTGTTATTGTTTTAGTTAATTTAAAAAAAAAACAACTCCTACAAGTTGATGTAAATTATTATTATTTGTTTTAAATTTTAGAAATGTTTTTTTTGGTTATATTATTATTTTATTTTTCTTTCTGATTAAACATTCATTCATTTGATATCAAAATCTCAGGCTGCATATTTTTTAATTTTTTTTACAATATAATGCTGTATATATATAACAATCCAATTAAAAAAAATAACTTCCTAACTGTTTCAGTGCAGGGTTACTCTCGAATGGGGGGGGGGGGGGAGGGTTAATCCACTAGCGCTGCTGGTGGAGACCAATTTAAAAAAAAAATCAAATGTTAAATTATATATAAAATAAAAAAGTTACGATAGTTTTAGTAACTCTTAACCACCTTGAAATGTGCAAAGTTTCATCTTGATCCAAGAATAGGAAGTGGGAGAAATAACGTGTACAAGATTTGTACTCGCCTGACAGAGAGAGCTGATTTAAGCTTTGTAATAATAAGAAAAAAGGCTAGAGAGATTTAAAAACTTATACCAAAGAAAGATGCAGAGATGTTTTAAAATAACACAAATCTTTTCTTATGTCAACAGAAATCTACCACTTGGCATTATGATATCTATTATTATTGTGACTGTTACTTATATCTTGGCCAACATTGCTTATTTCTCTGCACTCACTCCAAGAGAGATTTTGCAGTCGTCAACTGTTGTAGTGGTGAGTTGTTTGAAGATACAACTATGCATGCGCATGTTTGACTTAAAATTTATGCTCATTAAATTTTGTGATATTTGACATTTTAGAGTTTTCTGGATCAAACTGTTGCACCGTTGTCATATGTTGTACCAGCACTCATCTCTCTCTCTGTGTTTGGAGGAATGAATGGAGCTGTTTTGTCAGTATCCAGGTAACTTTGAACAGAAATATCTCAGTTATTGATTTTGCCGACACAATTTGGGCTGGAATTGAGAAGTTGATAAGTAAAAAATAAAGCCACATGTTTATATCTTGTATTTTTAAACTCTATAAGTAAATGATGAAAGAAATGTAAATGTTTTGGGTAATTACCAAAAAGTGAAACATAATAACTTGTACCATATCAAGTAACATATAGTCCTATTGCCATCTTGTTGTTCATCTATCACATTACATGAACTTTGGATATAAGAAAGCTGGGGGTTTGCATGTGACTACAGAGACCTCTATGTGTTTGGAATGCCCAGTTGAATGCTTGTCATGCCAAATGCCATTTTGTTCTTCTGCTACTCTTGTACTCATAGCCAATGTTTTCTAGTCTTGCTCCACTTCTCAATAGTTGAGATGAACTCTGATAGCGAACAGAGCTGGAAAGACGAGTCCTCTCGTAGTGCTCTATCAAGAAACAGCATAATGCCTCAAGTTGAGTGACTGTGAAGACAATTTCCCCCTGCTCCTGAGTTGGGGACACTACAAGCTATGAAACACTGTTTCGATGCTTTCTCCACAGTGAGGGCATCAGGAGTCATAGTTCGGATGAAACGGGCAAAGTATGCCCCAATAGGTCTTGTTCCTACACTGCGCAATGATTGCCTGTCTGACCTCTTTAATCGCCATCATGGATCGTCGTGATCTGGGTGACACTTATACTGCCAAACACCATGGGCCCTGTCAGATCATTATAAATGAGTACTCAGATTTCTGCCATTTCCTGTAAAAATGTGCTTGGTCTTCAAGATACATAGCTGCCAATGCACCCTCCTGCTGCAACATTGCCCCTCACACCGGAATGTGAGGGTGTCCACTGCATAAAAATGACAGCTCCAATAAATCAGTGGATGTTACTGTGGTGCTGACAGCCTCTTCTATTACATCTTCTCAATACCATCAAGTTCTCTCATTTGTTCAGTTTCCCCAGGAGGCACTGACAACATTGAATACCATTTAAAGACACCATGAATACCACTCAAAGATACTATAAAAATATTCTTGAAGCACTAGTAACCTCCCCTCTATTCTTTGTGACTCTATTGAAACCTAACATTTTCCAGATTGTTTTATGTAGCTGCCAAGCACCACCATCTGCCTGGAATCATTGCTATGATCAGCGTCAAGTCCATGACTCCAGTTCCTTCACTTCTGACAATGGTGATTTTAACAGCACATTACATTTTTCAATTAGCTTTAGTTAAATAGTTAAAGCACTATATGAACATACACTGTAAGACTGAAGTGCTAAATACTAATCCAATGATGGGCGTAGCCAGGATTTTTTTCGGGTGTGTGCGTTTCTCCCCCCCTCACTCCCCCCGGGTTCATTCTTTCAGATGACATTTATTGTGCCCTAGAATAGGTTCTTCCTGGAGTTAGTGTAGACTAACTGGCCAATGCCAGAAAGGGGGGTTTGGGGGACTGCCAAGCACTATTTCTGGTATTGAAAGCCAACAAAATGCATATTCTGAGGTATCTATAGTGCATTTTCCTGCTATTAAAAAGTTTTATTTCAAAAAGCTAATTTGCTATTTAGTGGGGGGGGGGGGGGGTTGAACCCCAATCCCCCCCACCTGGCTACGCCCATGAATCCAATACACTATATGAACATACACTGTAAGACTGAAGTGCTAAATACTAATCCAATGGTAGCACCTTTGTGTTTTCTCTTACAGTTTGTACTGATCACAAGTATGCAGTTTGTTGGAGATATCTTTAGCCTGATTGAGATGGTGGGTTTTAGTATGTCTGCGCTTCTGGTTTTAGTCTTTGCTGGTCAGGTGAAGTTAAAATGGACTGCTCCTGCCCTGCTGAGACCAATTAAGGTCATTAATATGTTTCTTTTGGTCATTGCTTTGAATTAATGTTAACATTGTAAACATTTTGATGCTGTAAAATTTTGTTATCTTTACTTGAAAGTTCTGCAGCAATGTTCCTTTATGTTTTGTTTTATATTCAGGTTCCTCTAGTTGTACCAGCATTCCTGTGTTTGGTTTGTCTGGTAATCCTGTGCATCACTATCTATCAAAAGCCCACAGAATGTTTCCTGGCTGTGATTGTCATCACTGGAGGGGTGCCAGCTTATCTCATTGGATGTAGGTGGAAGAAACCCAAGAGTATACAAAACAAGTTAGGTAAGACTTAGATGTCTATATAGCTACTTAGTTTAATGCAGAACGTGCTAGATATGACACAGATGTCTATATAAGTACAGGGTATTGAAGTCAGTGAGTTTTACCTTAAAAAAAGTTTTACAAGTTTCATTTTTATTAGTCATATTTTTGTTTGTTTTACATGTTTTGAATGTTCCTTCAGATTGGAAGATAATTACATCGTAGCCTAAAATTACGCAGGATGGCGTGAGCAGATTTGGAACTTGGCATCATCATGACCATTGAACAACAGTCCAGAATGCATACCACACACCTGGCATTGAAATATCTTACATTTGGATTATTGATTTAATTTCCACTTCATTGAGTGCAAACTTAGTTGACAAGAACAAAAAAATGTAGTGCTTGTGACATCTGAAAGAAAATATTTGGAAAAAAAATGTAGTGCTTGTGACATCTGAAAGAAAATATTTGGAAAAAAAATGTAGTGCTTGTGACATCTGAAAGAAAATATTTGAAAAAAAAAATGTAGTGCTTGTGACATCTGAAAGAAAATATTTGAAAAAAAAAATGTAGTGCTTTTGACATCTGAAAGAAAATATTTGAAAAAAAAATGTAGTGCTTTTGACATCTGAAAGAAAATATTTGAAAAAAAAAATGTAGTGCTTGTGACATCTGAAAGAAAATATTTGAAAAAAAAAATGTAGTGCTTTTGACATCTGAAAGAAAATATTTGAAAAAAAAAATGTAGTGCTTGTGACATCTGAAAGAAAATATTTGAAAAAAAAATGTAGTGCTTGTGACATCTGAAAGAAAATATTTGAAAAAAAATGTAGTGCTTGTGACATCTGAAAGAAAATATTTGAAAAAAAAATGTAGTGCTTGTGACATCTGAAAGAAAATATTTGAAAAAAAAAATGTAGTGCTTTTGACATCTGAAAGAAAATATTTGAAAAAAAAATGTAGTGCTTTTGACATCTGAAAGAAAATATTTGAAAAAAAAAATGTAGTGCTTGTGACATCTGAAAGAAAATATTTGAAAAAAAAATGTAGTGCTTTTGACATCTGAAAGAAAATATTTGAAAAAAAAAATGTAGTGCTTGTGACATCTGAAAGAAAATATTTGAAAAAAAATGTATTTTCATTATTTAAAATATAAAAAAAAAATTTCAAGTATTTTTTAAAATTTTCTTTTGTTTTTATTATCTTTTATTTGTTCACAGATTGCATCACTAAATATCTTCAAATTTTATTGCTGGCCTCAGCACAAGATGAAGACTATCTCATTGACAATGATCCTCTAACAGAGACTTCAAGCATTAATTAAATTCCCTGCACACCTGCTCAATATGGGTCTCTGCAGTTTTATTTCCTGGCCTCTGAAGTCCACACCTAATTATCTTCAGTTGGTTTTATAGCTTCACAACTCCATACAGGCTTCACTATTCAGCAGTGATGTTAAATGTTTTCAAACCTGTAGGTAATTACGAAGATTAGATCTAGAATGTATTGATGTTAAGTTACCAAAGCTACTGATAACTACAAATACCAGCTTAGATTAAACGAATAAAATATTTGAGACTTTGAACAAATATGAGGAAATGGATACATTGTCATGATGTATAAACTTTTGACAAGAGGACTTAGGAACTTGTATTGCTCATATATCCTGAACCCAGCTTAAGGTGAATGTAACCTTTATGTCTTGACAGTTTTAACCATAAAATACATGAAGCCATTTTACTGACCTAGTTTTATTATGGCCCTTAGGACAAACTTGGCCTGTCTTTAAGTTAACGAAAAAAAAATTGTCAACTCTTCAGGTGTTTTTTTTTAATTTCAAGGAAATTTGTTGTCAACATTTATTATTTCAATTACTTTTCAAATCATTTAATTGTATTCATTTTTTTTTAAAGATTTGCAGTGATTTCAATGATTAACTTCCACACAATTATTGAGTCTAATTCTTAGTGTGTACATTTAATACAGAAACTCTTTGTCAAGTGCTATCAAAGAAAATATTTTTTATTCTAGATGTGTGGCATTTTATTTCTTGTGAAATGTACTCTTGCCTTTGCAACTTCTCCTTTAATTCAAGAGGCCATTCCTTTATATTCGTTTGCTCTTGTAATTCAAGAAGCCAATCCTTGATATACATCCATGCTCATAGGTTAGACTTTTGTACTCACCAGATTTTAAACTTTTTTTCCTGCTTCTGGTGTGTTCAGATTTGCAATCCAGGTACTTCCTTTATGCTAGCTTCTTGTCATGCTGTCAGTGTATCTTAGTTTGACAACCTGCAGCTCTCTATTAGATCACATCAGTCACTGCTGACTAGCAGCAGCATAATACTTGCAAGCAAAAAAAGGTTTTGTTTAAATGTTCAGCAGTTTTCTAAAATTGGCCATATGATTGAACTTCTAACTACTGTTCTGCACTCATATGTTAAACAAACTAATGTTCTGCACTCATATGTTAAACTACTGTTCTGCACTCATATGTTAAATTTGTGAAAGCATGCACCTAATAAATTAATACAAACAA